CCTTATCGCTACAGCCCCTGATGAAGAGTCCCTCTCCACCATCCTTGCAGGATACTGGAAGGCTGCTTCAGATACTGGAAGGCTGCTATGAGGTCTCCATGCAGCTTTCTTCAGGCTGAACAGCTCAAATTTTCTTGGCCTGTCTGCATACGGGAGGTGCTCCATTTCCCTTATCATTCTCATGGCTTCCTCTGGACTTGTTATGATATTGAGGCAGACAAAGCAATAATGCATGCCTCTGTTTTGGTTTTATACTCTATTCCAGACACTGGCTACTGCCGACGATAGGAGGAGGCAAGCTTTGGGATTGGATGTTCTCATGCCTCATGAGCTGGGTGGATTAGCTTGTTCTGAAGTCTGTTCCACCCTAGCTGCCCAAACTCACTGTTTTAATTTGTTAGAGGGTTTCTTACAAGCATTGTAAGATGCATCCAGCCTCCATGAGGCTGGTTCCTCATGCGCCAAGGGCCTCACATAGGGGTTCACCAAGCCACAGTGGTGCATGAATGGGGGAAGCACAGCGATGCGAGCCTAGAGTGCTCCCAGCTAAGCATTTACACAAAAGACTATGGGCTGGTGCACAGCTGCTCATCCTTCCTTCGGAGTGATACCACCCCTGCTTTGTGTGTGAAGAGAGTGAGACGTCCCTGCCCTGTTCTTTGTGCCCTGGGAGGGGTGAGCAGCTCCATGAGCTAATGAAGCCAAAGACAGACAGCAGTTGACAGATGCTGCTGAAGTGGGCTCAGAGGAGAGCAAAAGAACAACTCAGAGGCAGAAATGAAGAGATACAGATCTGCAGCCCATGGGCCTCATCATAAACCTTCTCCTGCTGTGTTGCGATGGTCATCAGCGGAGTTAACCTTCCACTCTCATCACAATCATTAAATTCTTGCTAACGCCCCTGTCCTATGTCTGTCCAAACAGCTCTGTTAACTGTCACCTCCCCACACGGTGAGCCTGGCTCCCCACTGCAGCAGCTCTCATTAATGCTGCTCTGACTGGCTGATGAGGCAAGTGGCAGCCAGCTCCAGAGCCCAGATGAGTTTTGTAGACAGCAGGGGATGTTTATCCAACATGGAGGGGATGAAAGTACAAACAAAGAGAGACCGTACAATTACTCAGGCATCGTGCAGGGCCAGTCTCATTAAAGATGGTCTCCGTGACAGGAATTAATCTGAAGTGACAACCCAGTGAGCTAATTTAGCAAATGGGTCTGGGGCTTGGCCCTGTGCAAATTTCAGGGGTTGCTCCAGCAGGTACAGTTGAGCCTGCTCTGAGGAGGGGAAAGGCAGGAATGTGTTAAATTGGCCCCGTTCTGGCCTAAGCCTGTGTATTAGAAGTTATGGAGGAGACAGCAGCCCCAGGTCTCCTTGAGGGGCACAATGAAGATTAAACTTCTCTATTGCACCAATACCTTCTCCTTCTTTCTCCTGCGGCCTCAGGTCACGGATGGGTTCCAGCTCATTAAGTGCACAGTAATTCTGCCCCTATTCCCTGTAACTGTAACCACCAGCCCAACTCAGATCTTTCCTCCATGATGCAACCTGCTTGAAATATTAGACGGCTTTTCATTCCTCTTTAATGTTAAAGCAGAGCCCTGGGAGGGGGTAATGCACACAGAGAGAAACAAGTAACTTAAAAGGCTTTTTATTTTTTAAGCAAAGGTCCATTTTGGGGAGGCTGCTTTGAGTCCCCAAGCAATGAAAAATATTTTCAGCTGAAGTGCAGTGCCCCGATGCCTTTCTATGCTATGAGAATATGTGTAATTAAAAAAGATGACCAAACAAATAGCCCAAAAGCCTCATGGCATCTGCTTGCAACTAAACCACCGAAGGCTGTGAACTCCTTGAGTTCACTGGCTAAAGGGAAGTAAGGTGATTGGCATTTTGATCAGTTGCCTTGGAGCAAGGAAGGAAAAACCTCCCAGGCTGTCAGGACAGATATCTGAGGCCTCTGCCACTCCCCAGAGGGGATCTACTCCTCTCTGAATTGCATCTTGAATTGAATCTGCTCCTCGACACTATGCCACTGCCTAAGCACACCTGACTGATGAACATTGGGAATTAAGAGCCTCTTTGCCAAGACATACATCTGAGGCTTTACAATGAGCTTGCTCCACATTGCTATCGTATGTGCTTTGCCTGGGTCAGTGGCTCCAAGCTGTCAGGCTGTTTATTTGGTTTTAATCAGAAGTTAATTCTTATTCTACTGGAACTGGTACGTCTGCTGCACTGCTCAGCCTGCTCTACAGTGGCAAGAACAATCAGCTCCCGTGGAATTGCACCCGACTGTCTCACTGGGAGCCCCCATGCATCGCTTAGGAAACCAAATTTCCCCAGATTGCTTGCAATCCTCCCAGGAATGCCCAAGCTGAACCAGCCCCCAGAAGCTGTTGAACAGGAAGAGCTGCAGAAGCTACAGCACCAGCCAATTAATAAGCAGCACTTTTACTCTCACCCAGACCCATTTTCAGCAGCTGCAGCAAGCAGATTTAATTGAAGGGCTCCCAGGTGCCTTGCAAAGCATCCTGCTACTTGGGGATCTTCACATTACATATGCCAAGAGCTCTTCAAGCAAACCAGGGAAAGTGAAATGGAAAGCAGCAAACCATTTTACAACCAGTGCGCATTCCACCTCAGCAAGAGTTAATCCCCTCAGACAGCCCCTCACCACTCCAAGACTGCAGACTCCTGCCACCACATTCATTCATCCTTCAGATGCTGAAGAGCACCTGCCAAGGACCACTGAGGCTGGGGAGCTCCCAGGGCTGGAGAAGAAGGTGGGCTAGCTAGCTGGGTAAGCTCTCATTAGCTTGATGCTGGTAATAAATCAGTAGTGTCTGGCTGCATGTAAGGCCTGTGTTATCTGAGGAGAACATTCCACTTCAATCCTAGCTCTCTAGGGGGATTTTTGTACCCCTCCAGACAGTGCCTGGAAGGCAGTGTATCCAGGGAGGAGGGCACACAGGCAAACAGCAGCTCCTCATTCAGGCAGACAAATCCCCTTTCTTCAGAGCTCTCCAGTCCACAACACTTTTAAGCTTTTGAGCTTTTCACAATTATATTCAGTAATGTCACTATGCTCTGCAGTCCAGTGATGGAACAGCAGGATACAAAGCTTAGCCCAGGTTCCCCAGCACGGAGAAGGTGCAACAATGCAAATAAGCCTGTGAGACAGGAAAGAGGGTGATGGCCCAAGGAAAATAGTGAAAGGTCAGATGTCACAAGGCTGCTTGGAGCCCAAATGAGACATCATGGGCAAAACATCAGGAACGCAAGACAAGGAGCACAGAGGCAATGCTGGGAAGCAGCAGGCTGGAGATGAGAAGGGATGTGGTCCACATTTCCATTTCATGGAAATGAAAAGGGCTCAGTGAGACCTCCATATGGCACATGGAGATAGAGAACTCATCGTGAAATGCAAGTGTCTTCACTGGAGGGAGGCAATGAAGAGGTGATACCATGAAAGCCTTTTCCAGAGTGTTTCCTACTTGTGCTTGATAAAGTGGTAACAAATCTCCCCTGCTTCCTCCTCTCTCTGCCCTTCCTTATTCAAACCAAGGCCAGCAGGATGGCACCTGTAGCCATTGCTAAGAGCCTGCCCATACATGAGACTGGGCTACAGCAGGGCCACGGTGTAACAGTCCTCTAAAACACACTGCTCAATACTCATAACTATGTGGTGTAACTGATAGGGTTGTAACAGTAGTAACTGATGGGGTACAAACAAAACCTGGGGAGGGGGTAAATTTGCATGGGCACTCAGCTTTATTCATGTCATAACTTAAAGCAGAAATGAGATTTTCCTTTCTCTTGATCCCTTTCAGTAGAAGCTCAATGCATAACAGATACAAGATTACTTCTAGGCACCTTGCAAAAGGAAAAAAAACCCCAAGCCCCTCAACATCACTGGAGAAGGATAAAAATCACAAATTAGTTCATGGAGTTGCAGTGCTGATAATAGCGAAACTTGGCTCAGAGGGAAGGGGTACTATGACAAATTGCCTTCATTATTAGAGGCTCCCCTGTGTCCTGTATTCTTATTAAGCACTTCCAATGTGCTCTACGCAGTCTGAGTAACAAACAAAGGCTGTCCCACCCCAGAGAGCTCACAATCAAACAGAGACATAAAACTGCAGCCTACTGTGCAGAACTAGAGGAAAGAGACACTTGGATCTTTTTAATTATTTTGTTTTTTTTATCTACAGTAACAAACTTTTCCTCACAAAAAACATTTGCTTCCAAGCTACCACTGAATGACAAGAACCACCAGTTTTATGTGTCCCCATTTTTAAAAAATGTTGAACACGGCCATTTGCTGAGCTTGGATGAAAGTACCTTGTAATCCTGCTAGGTTAATGTGCTCTTTAAAAACACTAGACTTTTTTTCCCTAGCCTTCTTCAACCAGTCATCTCTTTAGATTCCCCTCAGTTTTGCCTCCTCATCCCCCCACATGATTTCCCTTCAGACTCAGAAACCTTGAAACCCACTTCTCTTCCCCTGCTGAGTTTATATAGTCTAAATAGCTTCATTACTGTGACAGTACGGAAGCCTTTCTCCAACACAAACAGCTGATGACTTTTTCCTGCAGTTCCTGCCTGAAGAGCTCTTCAGCTTATTCTCTTTATTTCAAACAAGTGAGGAGTATGGAATTCCACTTGCTTGAGTCTTTGGCCTATAGAATCTACAATACCTACTAATGACCATGGGGTTTTGTTCACATTAAAACCCCATTCAAAACACTGAGCATGAACAGTCTGATGGGAGGCAGCAGAGCCTTGAAAGTCCTTGATCATACCCAACACCAGGTGTAAAAGCAGATGCAGAGGTGTACAATTGGCCTGTCTCTTCCACTTGATGAGGAAGGTGCAATACCAAGAAGATCTGGCAATTTCATCACCTTCAGCTCCTCATTGGCAAGAAGACATTGATGCAACTGCATCCTGAGAGGTCCTCTTCCCAAAGGCATGTGTTGAGGACTTCAGAAGAGCAGATCTTACCTGCCGGACTTCCAGGCGGTACTTGAGGACGGGATCCACAGCATCAGGCTCCTTCTGTGTCCACTGCAAGATGTATGAGTAATTCTTGGATTGCTTCTGGCTCAAGGTGGGGTTGGGAGTGTCATAGTAAAACTCTGGGCTGTAAGCCTTTGCTGGAGGGGAAAAAAAGAAAGGGGTGGAGGAAAGTAAAAGTGTGGGATAAAGGGGAACATAAATTACAGAGAGGCACAGTGAGAGTGGAACATCTCCATCTGCCCAGCTCGTCCACTTGCCTTTGACATGATGAACACCTTTACTATTGCAGCTGATGTTGCACTGATGCACCGTCATTTTCTGTGAATCATGACTACTTTCAGAGCCTAAACTACTGGGAAGGTTAGCAGCCCTGCAACACCAGCAGGGCTTGACTGACACCAGAGAAGGTGGGAACAACTTCAGTTCTCCAGCTGGAACCAGCTCTAATATTTTCTGTCTTACTTTGTAGTTTAGATTGAGGTAACAGCTTTAAACAGGTATTTCTCCTGTTTCATCTGCTGCTTTACAGAGTCTTCTGCTAACAAACTGTGAGGAAAGATCATTTGGCCAATAGGTCACAAGAGAAGTGTTATTTATCACATAGGGACCATAGCATTAAAAAGGAGACCTTGCTCCTTCTGCATCAACCCTGCCTTGGCAACATAGTGCTCCAGCCTCTTTCTAACATGACAGTCAACTCGGCAGCAAAGGGGATGCTGACCTCAGCTCGGGCAAAAACAGCAGGAGCTTTTGCAGGGACGGAGATGTCTTTTCTAAACCTACATCTCCCCTTAAAAACAGAGGGCAGCAGGAGGAAGGGAAACACGGGAGAAATTATGTACCAGAGAGAAACTGGGTAGTTCAAAGAAGGGATTTCCTGTCACTTCCCCGGCCGCTGCTGTCCTGAATCTCTACCGAACAGAATTCAGATGCTGCTGCCATGCAGCCCAGTGGCTGATGGACTAGTGCACAGGGCCCAGAAGCAACTCAAGATCTTATCCACAAATGGTTTTGCCCTATTTGTAATTACCTTCATTTCACCCTGTGAACTTCAATTTTTGGCAAGTCCTGTCCTGGCAGGAGCTGGACCTGAACCAAAACTCTCCATTGTGGATTCAGGTCCAATCTGGACCTGCACAGACCAGAAAGATGCCTGGGCAGCAAGGGGTGCTGGAGAGCAGAACAGGCATAAACATCACCTCCCCAGGCAGTTTGCTGCACCTTTCCACTTGAATCACAGGACCTGCCATTCTGTGTGGTTATAATTAGTCTTGACAAGATTCAATGTTTATTTTTTATTAACTCAGATGGATAATATTGATGTTTATTTTCAAGTCCTTTTTTTCTTATTATTTTTATTGACTTGGATTTTTGCACAAGTGAGAAGTTCAGAACCACCTCAAAGACTAATTGCTGCTTATTCAACTTGTATTGACTATGGAAGTCAAGCTTCATAATAGATTCTAATATAATATCAGAACTGATGGTAATCATCCTCTTGCATGTTATAAATTCCTTATTAATTGACTTCAAGATAGAAACAGAAGCTAAAAACCAGCATTCAAATAGAAATAAAGCACATCAAAATACTTCTGGAATTTCCTTTCCAGCAACTGAACTATTGATGGGAATTTTTCTGCTTACAGCTGATGGGAAGAGCTAAAGGTTTTTCACTCCATCTTTCAGGGGTTTCCTGGCTTGTAGCTACTGAGAGTGCAGGTGGTGATCAGTATGGACTGCCCTGACAACTTGCTCAAGAGGAGGGGACTGGATGTCTCACTGTCCTTCCAAAACAACTCAGAGAGTTAACCTCCCAGCCACAGAAGAAACTAATCCCACCCTGGTCAGATTTATGCACTCTGTTTCCAGTATACCTGAACACGTCACAGTCACAAATGAGTCACTGCCTCCCTGTCAGATAGGAAGGTTTATGATACTTCTTTCATAGAGAAGAAACAAACAGAGACTGTGCCATCCTCCCTGCTCGCACTGGAAGGCTGTGGCTGACGAGAATTACAACTGCAGCCCAAGTGCAGCAGTCTACCTACTGGATTATTTTTCAGGTTGTCCTACGAGCTCAGGTCTAATCGATTTCTAAGTGTCCAAGACACAGGCAGAGGTGTCTGGAGGTGAAAAGGTACCATCAGATACCAATGCTGTGGAAACGGAGAAGGGAGGAAGGGAAATAAATGCTTGCTGCTTTCCTGATGAGTGGTTTCTAGGGACAAATGCTGCTTTCTGCTGAGGGGATCGTATCTTGTGGGGCACAGCATGGCACATGAGGTGGCAATGAATTTGTTACTACTTCCAGCAAGAAATTCAGGTCCTAGGAGCATTCCAAAGCTTGCTAGGGACACAGTTTGCTGTGGCTGCTGAAAGCAGGATATGGTTTGCATCACTTAGTGACACGAGAGTTGCAAGCATATGAAGAAGGGGTAGAAAGGGACAAAGTTCTCAAGCAAAATCCACTGCCAAACAAATTCCAGCAAATCTCAAGGCAAGAGAACAAGGTCCTGAAAACGGACCCAAACAGTATAAGTGGTTTGGATTTCCCCATTTCTGAGCATCACAGAGTTACAGCATACCTCAGCTTTTCCAAACCCTTGGAAAGATCTGCTTCAAAACCAGGCCTTTCCAAATGTTATTAATTCTCCTTTGTTCAGCCCTGACTCGAAAAGTATTATAAATCGGCCCTAGACTGACAACCAGCATTTTGGCTGAATTTATGGCTTATTAAGGCAACTTCACTGGAAAACTCTTCTAGAAACTGGTGCTCAAGTCAATTCTGGGGTCATGGGTTTAAATGCTGTAACTCTGTCATTCCTCTTTGCAGGTGCTGGAGAGGAGTCCTGTTACAGTGCCTGCTGGATTCACAGAACACTGTGAGCAGCTAATCCACTGAGCATAGTACTCGCTCCCAGCTCATGTTTGTCCTAGCAGGCACCATGAAACACAGGCAGATAGCAGATGTAAAGAAGGTACAGGAACACATCAAAACAGGTTTTGTTTGTTTGTTTTTAAAGGGAAAATTAGGTAGAAACCTGTTGGGAGGATGTAGAGAGCTTTTCACACACCCTTGATTAATACCTGTCTACAATAGAGGTTGTCCAAGCTTGAAAGCTGGTGGTACAGCCTTTAGTATCTTTCAGGCAAGTGGTCAAACACTGCTACAATGTGCACTAACTGCCCCAGGTCCATCCCAGATTTGAAGAACTGCCTGAATGATTGAGGCAGATCTCCCTGTTTGCTTATGGAAATTCATCCGTTCTGAGCACAGTACTGTACTGGCACTAGTTTATGGGAGCAAGCTTCCTGCCTCCATGATCCCATCCAACAGCTCACCCCGATGTGCACTCTGTGACTTACCAGACACCTGGAAGAGGCAGGTGGAGACCCCCACGTCGTTGGAAATGCTGCACTCATAGCTGCCGCTGGTCTCCCGGCTGACACTGTCCACCTTCAGCTCCGAGTAGTCCTGCTGCTCTGCCAGCGGCTGTGCCAGAAGGGACCCGTTGAAGCGCCAGACGGAGGTGGCCACCTTCATGGGGCTGCCCTTCAGCATGGTGCAGCGCAGGGTGACGCTGCGCCCCATACCCTGGCGCACATCCTGGAAGGGTGGCTCCACCACAGGGGGGACTGGAAACAGAACAGAGCAAGAGACAGGGATGCCATCAGGTAACAGACGTCAGGCACAGTCACCACAGGGGTGCCTCTGAGGGGATAAACACCTAGGATTTCCAAGAGGATACTGATTTTCTAGCAGGAGCTAGGCTTCATAAAGCCTAAAGCAGCAATAGTCATCTGGCATCCCCTTCTGACTGGGCTGGGGCCACCTCTCACATCCCTCCTATTTACTAGGTAGGGGTGGCCTTTAGTAGGTACTGATCCCACATTGAGACACTGCTCGGAGCAGCTACCAAGCCTTGATCTTTCATGTGAGAAGTGCATCTCCATCAGTTGAGTGCTACAGCTTGCAGCCAATCCTCAAATATTAATCAGAATAACCATGGTCCTCATACCCAGTATAAACTGCACTCCCTGAGCAGGCAGGTATGCTCCCAAGCAGTAACATTCATGTTCTTCTGGTCAACATTCGACACAGTTATCTTCAGATGAAGGGATATGCACTAACTGTCCCCACAGAGCACAGACTTCAAGGGGTATTAGAAGGCTTCTCCCAAATACATCAACACAATAGGGGCTGGCTACAGGTACTCTGGGTCTATTTCTACCTCTGGCAATAATTCCCTTACACTGGGAGGTGAGTCATGTGTCTCCATGTCAGCTTCTCTGCCAGCAGTGAGAATTGTGATGTGTTGCCACCTCCTATGTAGAGGGAGGCTACTAAGTCTTGTTCTTTCACACTTGTAAAAATTCACAGGAACCTCACAATTTGGGCATTGTTGGGGCAGAGCAAGAAGACTGCTCTGGACTGGTATTGCTTGTGTTACCCCTTATTTGATGCAATGGCAGAGGACTTAAATCTTCACAGCCATCTGATGAACATGTTTCACTTACAGTAAACAATTAAAACACTAAAGCACAGGAACAACCAGAAGCTCTTCCTCTAAAATGAGAGGAACTTCCTGCACACAAAACACCTGTTCGCCTGAATGTAATGATCTATAGCACCTCCAGCACAATGACAGCTCACCTTCTCCAGGTTCAAAGCATGTCTCTTCCACAGAAAATGCTATGCACTACAGATCTACAAAGCACCTGCTGCCTGTAAAGGTCCACAGAGCTGCCAAGCAGAGACAGGCTCAAAGACCTGCAACACACAGCATCTGCAATACCACGGACACAGCTCCACCAGGAACAATGGGTTATGCAGCACCCCTGCTGCCCTGAACATAAGCATGCCGAGAGCTCCAGTATACCTCTCATGTCACTCCCCTCCCATGGCCTGACCCAGCAAGACCCATCTACAGCTCCATCTCTATCTTCACCACAGATGAAGGTGGTGCATGCACCACCCCACTGTTCTGCATGCACAGTGTCCCCTCTCCCAAGGTCTGCATCTGGGGGTGCACAGTGTGCAAGCATCCCATCCACCTGACAGCCCATGTTTGACAGTGGCTGATTGTTTTCTAGGTACCTGTTCTCAGCTCTCAGCCTCCAGGCCCTTGGCTGCACTTAAGTGGATTAAAAACAGCCCTTGACTGAGCTCATGTTGCCGTGCTGAGTGGCATGGTCAGCTCATTACAGATGGCTTTGCTAGCGATGTGTCTCTGCGGGTGCTCCAAGTGCTGACTTGCCTTTGGCTCACACGTCTCCCACCTCACAGTGAGAATAATGTGAGAACTTGTTTGATTAGACCTAGTGCCATGAATGTGTCATCTCCATCCCTAGCTGCTATCCCATTTCTTGGGTCACATCTGTTCCTTAATTGAAGTCGGTGGGGTCTCACATTATAATCAAGGCTAGCTGGTGATGTAGGGGGGAAAAAAAGGAAGAAAAAAAATAGAAAAAGGGGAGAGAAAGAGAAAGGAAGGCTTAAAAAATGGCACAGCAGCTCCAGATGTATGCAAAGCAATCTATCCAATGAGGAGGACAGAGAGGGGTGGGAGAGCAGCTTCCCTCGCTGCATCCCTATACAGAGCTGGGACAGGGAAGAGAAAGGTCTGAAACTGGACAAAGTGCCCTCTGCAAGGATACATGCTGTAAGGAAAGTGGCCTCCTGGACCTCACTAAGGGAGTGTCTGGAGCTGGTAAAGGGCCAGAGGATCAGGGCTGGGACACTCCAGATGCTTCCTTAGGTCACAGGAGCAGCAGGGCAGCCAAGGATGCAGAAGATATTTAATCTTCTTCAGCTGGGAAATGGGACTTACTTGATTTACACTGGGACAGGCTCTGGGCCTATGTTATCACCTTGCAAAGGGAATGTCTGAAAGTGCCTATAAGATAAAAACTAATAGCCTTTTCTCCTCTTGTCTCTGGCACTAGGAAACACCCAGTGAGCATCAACTCTGCAGGTAGTCCTGGAGCCCCTGGGGTTTCTGGAGAGAGAGCTGAAGCAGAGCAAATGATGCAGTCCTACGCCAAGGGGCCACTATTGCCGAAAGCTGCCAGAAGATATGAAAGCAAGGAAAGGTCAACAGCAATTACAGAGCCAGACATCAGTTCTGGCCTCCAATGCCTATTGGGGACCGCTCTCCATCATCTTTACCAAGTCTTGGGAAACGGGAGAGGTGCCTGAGGACTGGAGGAAAGCAAATGGCACTCCTGTCTTCAAAAAGGGCAAGAAGGAGGACCCAGGTAACTATAGACCAGTCAGCCTCACCTCCATTCCTGGGAAAGTGATGGAACACCTTATCCTTGGTGCCATCTTAAGGCATATCAAGGATAAGAGGGTTATGAGGAGCAGTCAACATGGCTTCACCAAGGGGAAGTCATGCTTGACCAATCTCGTAGCCTTTTATGAGGAAATAACGTGGTGGATGGATGATGGTAGAGCGGTGGATGTGGTCTACCTCGACTTCAGCAAAGCGTTTGACACGGTCTCCCACAGCATCCTCACAGCTAAATTGAGGAAGTGTGGTCTGGATGATCGGGTAGTGAGGTGGACTGTGAACTGGCTGAAGGAGAGAAGCCAGAGAGTTGTAGTCTATGGGGCGGAGTCTAGTTGGAGGCCTGTATCTAGTGGAGTGCCTCAAGGGTCGGTACTGGGACCAGTATTATTTAATATATTCATCAACGATTTAGATGAGGGAATTGAGTGTACTATCAGCAAGTTTGCTGATGACACTAAGCTGGGAGGAGTGGCCGACACGCCAGAAGGCTGTGCTGCCATCCAGAGGGACCTGGACAGGCTGGAGAGTTGGGCGGGGAATAACTTGATGAAATATAACAAGGGAAAGTGTAGAGTCCTGCATCTGGGCAGGAACAACCCCAGGTTCCAGTATAGGTTGGGGAACGACCTCTTAGAGAGCAGTGTAGGGGAGAGGGACCTGGGGGTCCTGGTGGACGACAGGGTGACCATGAACCGACACTGTGCCCTTGTGGCCAAGAAGGCCAATGGCATCCTGGGGTGTATTAGAAGGGGGGTAGTTAGTAGGTCGAGAGAGGTCCTCCTTCCCCTCTACTCTGCCCTGGTGAGACCTCATCTGGAATATTGTGTCCAGTTCTGGGCCCCTCAGTTTAAGAAGGACAGGGACCTGCTGGAGAGAGTCCAGCGCAGGGCAACTAAGATGATTAAGGGAGTGGAGCATCTCCCTTATGAGGAAAGACTGAGGGAGCTGGGTCTCTATAGTTTGGAGAAGAGGAGATTAAGGGGTGACCTTATTAGTGTATATAAATATATAAAGGGGGAGTGTCACGAGGATGGAGCCAGGCTCTTCTCAGTGGCAAACAATGATAGGACAAGGGGCAATGGGTACAAACTGGAACACAAGAGGTTCCACTTAAACTTGAGAAGAAACTTCTTCTCAGTGAGGGTGACAGAACACTGGAACAGGCTGCCCAGGGAGGTTGTGGAATCTCCTTCTCTGGAGACATTCAAAACCCGCCTGGACACGTTCCTGTGTAACCTTATCTAGGTGTTCCTGCTCCGGCAGAGGGATTGGACTAGATGATCTTTTGAGGTCCCTTCCAATCTCTAACATACTGTGATACTGTGATACTGTGATATTTCTTCAAGTAGCTTATACACAAAAGGGAGACCCACTATCAAGGTTAGAATCAATCTGCAAATCCTAGCAGATAACAACACAGCCTTTTCCAATTTCTGTCTTAAACGCAAAAGAAAGCTTGTTTAAATGAGCTGGTGCTCTGATTCCCCAGAACTAGGAATCAAACAGGTCCAAGACATATGAGATGGTGATTGTCTCAGAGCAGAGACCTCCAACATGCTCCCTGCATGGACACCTTTAGGGAGCTGCAGGAAATTATAATGATTTTCTAGGTGCCTCTCATATCCACAGGGAAGCAGCATCCCTGCAATTCTATTCTGGCTCATTAAGCTGCCATGGTACTCTTTGGGAGCTTGGATATCAGCCCCAGTTTTTAGACCATTTCCAAAGGCAGAGGTCCTTGTCCAGAGGCTCCTCAAATGCCTTTCTGTATCTCTCCTGAACTCCTGTGCATGCAGCTGAAGCAGCCATGTTGCAAACAGCAGGTTGCAACCTTTCAAGGAGGAGGTTAAAAAACCTCTCTGCACATACAGGGCTTCGGGATCCCCTGGTAAGAAACACAGCAAATATAGATGATTACTGTTTTCTCTTGGCATGCAACTTAATTCTAGAAGAGATAGCTGAGAGGAGGAGTGATGAAAGGGGTGAAGAGGGCAGTGCATTACCGTTTTAGGCAACACTGAAGGAGTGAGGCTCCTCCAGCAGCTTGTTAAACTGTGTCAGCCTGCCTTTGCAGCAGGAAAAGCTCGCTGGGAGCAAATCAATTCAGTGGAATACAGGCAACCTACTCCAGCATGCCAGGCACCCTAAGGCAAAGATGGGTTGCAGACAGCTCCCTTGCTGCGAGCTAGAGCAGATGCTCTGCACCGAAGGGTTGCTAAGCTAGCACAGTGTTCATAATGATGAAGGGCAAGAGCATGGGATGCACAACAGAGAAATGTCAAGTGTCCAGGGGTGTTGCTTTGTTCCCCAATAACCTCTTATTTTCTTGCTTTCGCTGGAAAT